ATGGATAATGGAAGGATGAATAGATGATGAATAGATGATGGATGATGTATAGATGATGGATGGATGTTGGATGATGGATGGATGAATAGATGTTGGATGATGGATAGATGGATGCACACACACTTACTTATTTTTATTTATTTATTTATTTATCTATCCCAGGGAGACCTTTGAGGCATCCAGCAGCATGTTCTGATTGTACAGAAAAGAAAACTGTTTTTAAACTTTAATGTAGCCCGACACTTTCTTTATCTTCCACTTGTCCCCCCTCGTTCTGATGAACTTGCGTCGCAGCATTCCGTCACGTCAGATTCAAGGACCGGTCATGGAGCGAGTGAAAAAACAGCCAAGGTTCAAAGACCAACTTTGGAGGGTCTTTAGAAAGTCACTATAAAATATTAAAGAAAACTACTGATTGGAAGCTGCTCACTAATTCTTCTTATTAATCACCATATTCTTCTAATTTTATACGTGTAAATCTTACTTTGTAACAAGGAAGTGCCTCCATAGAACCTGTTTATTAAGCTGTAATGGATGTTTTCTTACCTCCACAGTTACATGTAGCAGATTTTATTTAATAATTAGTGATGCAGGGAGATGTATAGTTAATTACAAAACATATAGAAGGGTCAATATTAGATATCAGCTTTCTTCATTTTTTATTCTGTTTACATTTTGCTCTTGTTTGTTTGTTTTCTTCGTAATCTTCTTGTCGTCTCTTCCACAGGCTGAACCAGAAGAGGATGTTCCTGCAGCAGCAGTCACAGAGCATGGGACTGCAGGCTTACTTCAACCAGATGCAGATAGCTGAAGGTTCATACCCACCAGGCAGTCCTGCTCAGGACCTGACGGTGCCTCCCAGTTCCCCTCAGGGCCCCACCATGTCCGCCAGCAGCCAGCCTCAGCCCCAGCAGCAGGGCAGTCCTCAGGCCTCTCCTCCATTCGGCCACAGCCTGAGTCCCCTGATGGAACCGAGCGAAGGCGTGGTTTATGATCCCTACATGAGCCATCACCACTACACCCAGCATCTGCCTCATGGAGCTCACCTCCACCACCAGCTCCACCATCAGCAGCCTCCTGATGCTTCCAGCAGCGGCCTGAGCTTCAGCTACTCTGTGGGCTGTGAGCAGCAGCCTCTCGGACTTGAACCTCTTCTACCAGACCAGTATGAGTTCTCCATGAACCCCACTTTGCTGCCTCCACTCGCCTCAGGAGAGGCTGCTCCTGGAGTTCTGGCTGCTACGGGGCAGTCAGACAACCGGGCCATGCCTGAGCTGCAGGGTTCTCTCCTGGACAGTGAGATGATGGAGACTGTGGACTCGCAGCATGGCTTCGTACTGGTCAATTAAAGCAGGCTGGCTCAAGAGCAGTATTAAGCACTGGGCACCTACACGGCACGGTGAGCGACGAGAACGGAGATGTAAGTGGAGGCTGTGAGAGGAGCAACAGGGATGGAAGCGTTGGCTTTTCTACAACTAATACAAACTTCATTTCCTGGTTGTGATAAACCTCAGCTTTTCTACCAGAATCCTCCTTAACCTCCTCGTCTCCTCCTCCTCCACTGCCCTGCCCTGCGAGGCCAGACGTGTGGTGCAGCGTGACCTTCGCCATGCTGATTCGGCGAGGCGGCGCTCGTCTGTGAGACCGCGGCGTGCGGTCCAGGGGGGCGGGGCGCCGCACGTCTTCGAGGCTGCTGGGGTGCAGCGCCTCATCTAAAACTAGTCTGAACGTGAACTCCTTTAGAACCTAATGAATTCCAACCAAAAGCACAAGAGCTGGCAGTGCTTTGTGTTTCAAACAGGACACGGTGGCAAGACTGGGTCACAAAAACACTTGTGTAGATTTTTATTTTTAAGATTTCAGTAAGTAGAAACCTGAGCAACAGAATAGCCCTCGTTTAACACGCTAGTATGAATATCACCACAAATTCAAGTGTTAATGTTGTTTGTTAGTAACGCACTATAATTTGCAGGCCATCGGGGTGGTCATGCATCGGTTACAACACTTGCTTTAAAAAAACAAGCGCCTCCTCAGATACTCTGAATAATGCTCGATTTGTGCTGTGAGCTGATGCAGGAAGGTAGAACGCAGTTCACGTGACTTTTTCTTCACATTGCAACTACTGATCTGGAGTTCTTTTGTACACTACTGATTGCACGCCGTGTCAGCACACCTGGTGATGCGATGAAGGGGATGACGAGTTGGTAGAACTGTGGCTCGTGTGTCTGCCTGATAAATGAGGGCTGATGGGACTGCGCTGAACTCGTTGCGTCTCTTTCCGCGGCAATACTGAAGCAATATTAATCCTGAATGTCAAGGGACGGTGAACGGAAGCCTCACCTGTACGGCCAGCTCTGATTGGTTCCCGCATCCACCTCAGATTCGTCAGCGGTGACATCACTTGGAGCTGATGATGTAACCAGGAGATGATCTCTCAGCAGTACGCCTGGAGACATCTGTGCAAAAGTTTGAGTTGTAACTTATTTTATAAGTGTTTTATTCAAATTAGACCATAAACTTGTTTCTTTATCAGTAGTTTTATAGAATATGCAGCTAAACCTCATGGCAACGTCACCTAAATTTGATATGAATGGCTTCTTCCTTTAAAGCAGCGCCAGTTCTCCTCCGTGAGGTTTTTCTAGGTACTCAACAGGATGCTTGCTTTGATTTTCTCAGAGTTGCTTCTGACTTGAATCCAGGACACTACTAGTATTATGTTAGTGCAGAAACTAAGCATCTAAATGTCGTCAAACGTCTGCACAGCGCTGTGTGGAATTGTCTTTGCACAAATTCAAAAACACGTTTTCATCCATTGCACAAACGTCATTAACTTCTTTTCATTTCAGCACAAACGGTACAGTTTGGTTTTTAAAGATAAATCACGATTTACATCACCACTGCTCCAGGCACGCCTCTGTGCAGTTTTCTTTTTTTAATAAACCATCAAAGATGCCCAACGTTCGGTTTCCCATAAGAATATTTGCTCCCTGACTTTGCTGCTGTGAGACAAGGATCAGCAGAACATGAGTCCCCTTGCTGGATCTGAATTAAACTTTGATTCATTTTTTCACAGCACTTAAATTGTTCAGTTTACCTGCAGCACACAGATGTAATTCCTTGACAGATTATGGAAACTGAATTAAAATGATGAGCATTAAGGATATACTGTAGCCGTGCAGCTGTTGGAGCTTAAAGAGAGACTCCAGTTTGGTTAAAGTAGAAATGTTGGGAAGAAATGTGCAACACATGCCTCTCTGAAAGAGCTCATTTTGAAGAAATAATTTAATCCTGACTGGAGTGACGAGCTAACGGCTAGTCCAAACGTAGCCAAGACCGGAGGGATTGCTGCTGACCTGAAACAGCTCAAGTCTCGAAGGTTTTACAGCCATTCACACAAACTCTACTTTATAAATCTAACAAAGTTAAGTCAGGTCCTCTGGGTGGATAAAATAAATTTAAATAACAAATTTGTTGAAATATTTTGTCTTTAATCCAAAGGACTTCTTCAGTCTGTGGAGCTGCAGTAAGTTCAGTCTTGAATAGTGGATCAACCAGTTCGCTGCTGACAACCAAAACCAGCTGCTCACCTGCTCAAGAAGGACCATCAGCCTAACAATGGATCATTAGCACACTGATGGCTGTTTACTGTTCACAGAGGGCTGAGTGATACTAGCAATCACAGCATTGTAAGAGGGGGACAGTTGAACCCGGAGGCCTCCACCCCTGTTTAATGATGGATGATTTCACAAAGATGGCCTCCTTTACTCCTCTCTCAAACCATCGTTCCTCTCTATCCAGGATATGAACATCTTCATCCCTGAAAGAGTGACCGCTGGCCTGGAGATGAGTGTAGACCGCAGAGTCCTGGCCTGATGATGTTGATCTTCTGTGCTGGGCCATCCTTTTGGCCAGTGGCTGTTTAATGTTGGCTGTCACCATCAAACTGGTCGACCTACTATGAGAAGGTGCTATTTATAAGACTGAGTTTACTGCAGCTCCTCAGACTGAAGAAGTCCTTCGGATTAAAGACAAAACGTTTCAGCAAGTTTTTTTTTATTTTTTAATCTGACCAAAATACCTTATTTAACTTGCTTAGATTTTTCTACCTAGATTATGGAGCATGCATCAGGATGATTTTTTTTTTTTTTTAACTTTTACACTGTTAATTCCAGCAGGAGTATTATGATATTCCTGCAGGGAGAGCTACAGTCTGGATTTTCTTTTTCGGATCAGAGTTTTCTATAAACAGTGTGATGCAGCGTTGATGTTGTTTTGGAGTTCTAAGACTGCAGTGATCTTCTTTGGTCCTGGACTTGCTTGGACTTATCGTTAAACTCCTGTTTCCCCCAAAACTCAGGTTTAAACAGCTATCTACAACAGGTAAGATGTTACTTGTTTATAGGTTTTCCACATCAATAGATCAGAGCTATCTCGTTAAAGTTTGTGGTCAGATTCCTTTACAGACGACATAAACACTCAGATTTGTAATGTTCACTCATCAGACTCTTGAGGTACAAATAAACAGTTTGGAAAATCCTTTACATTGTTTGATCCAAACAAAAAAAGCCAATGTTTCTTGTCCATCGAGCAGTCCACACCTCTAACGAGTCTAACGTCATATCTGCAGGGTTTTAACGTCTGTAAGCCGATATGATTCCCTCCAGCAGCAGTCAGAGTGCAGACTTGTTGAGAAACACGTCTTGTGGTTGCATTATGGTCCCACCCTCCACCCACATCAGCTGGATGTGTACATTCTAATTGGTTTCACCCACTTTTTTTTATTAACGGGAACAGACTCATGCCCAGTTTGTGGGTCGTGTTGGAAAAACGTGCCCATTAGAGAGGAAGGAGGGCGCTGAGGTGTGAATGAAATCATTCTGAGCACCGATGACGCAAAGAGTATTAAAGTGCGTTTTTCTTTTCAGTGGTCAGACTAAGATGTACAGGGTGATTTGTGGAAGGTGAATACTAGAGCACTTTTTGAATAAAATGGGGAAGGAGAGATTGTAGCGAGAGGAGGAGGAGGTTGTGGTGGAGAAAGTTGGGAAAGGTTCGTGTTGCTCTGTTGCTTCAGATGAAACGAACCACAGGAAACACCCTTTCTCCTCCTCTCTCCTTTTACCGCCCACCAAACAATAATGGAAACAAAATCAATTTCTTTCAAAGAAACACCAGACGTAGTGACTATGGTTTTTTTTTTTTTTACAATTTTGACTTTCTTATGGCGAGCGTTCCTTCAGAGGACGAGTGGTTCTGAAAAGGTTCGGTGTGCCTTTTTACTTTTCCTGTTTTCAGTCTAAATGAGGACTTTGAATAAAACAATTATTTCTGGTTGGACCCATTTATTTTCATTACTTCCTCTCTGTTCATTATTTGATTGTGTGTAGAGCCAGGTTTTACAAAGGTACCAAAGTCCTTCAGAAGTTTCCCTGTTCGACCTCACCGTGTGGAGTTTGAGCTTCTCCTTCTCGTTGGTCAATCAGTGTATGCCATATAAAAGTATTATAGCAATATTTCTCTAGATGAAGACTAAAGTCATGAAGATTCTAGTGGATGTGTTTCCAAGTACCATAATTTCACCTGCTGATAAAAACACAAATAAACTCAGTCAATAGAAATTCAGTTTTATATTCATTGATGTTGACCACACATAAGCTAACTTGCTGTTGAGATTAAAAAGGTTTATTGAACAGAAAAAAATGTGTCTCTCTTTTATTGTTTTATTATTTTTTAATCCAAACAGCTGTTTAACATTAATGGATAGATCCCAGGGGGAAATTGGAGGCACCCAGTAGCATGTTCTAATCACAGTATACAGAAAATAAACAAAATAAAATAAGTGGAATACACATACATTCATGATTAACCTATATATGTTCACATACAATACACATCTAAGCATATGTACATGTGAATATACATACATGTACACATGTATACTAGCATTCCTTGAAGAAATACTGCTCGCTGCCTTTTATGCCTGAGTCACAGCCTTTTCAGTTTCACCTTAAAAATAACATTAGCAACAATATCATGTCCCACTCGGCATACCGTAGATAGTTAATGACTCTCAGCTACTACCACAGCAGATTTTAGCTTGATGTCAGTAAAATTGACTGAATTTTAGCCGTTTTTGTGTTTTTCAATGTCAGTTGGCTGCAGCGGCCACCTTGAATTGGATTGATTTTTGAAGAATATTCAGAAATAAAGGTTCATCTAATAATTATTCCCCAAATGTTTCATTAAAATCCATCCAGCGATTCATGAGATATTTTGCTAACAGAGGGCCAGACACCACATAGGTGATAAAATTCGCAACTTGGACCCATGTGCAATTGGTTAGTACCCAGAATATGTTTTGGGGATTAGTGTCAGCCATCTGACCACGGTGCTCTTCTGGTTCTTTTGTTTCCAGGTGGAGAGGAAACTCGCACAAACTC